ACAATTCTAAATATATATGCACCAAATATGAATGCCCCCAACTATACAAAACAAATATTAATGGACATGAAAAACCAAATAAGCACTAATACAATCGTCGTGGGGAATGTCAACACCCCTCTATCACAAATAGACAGATCAACTAGAAAAAAAATTAACAATTAATTTCTAGAACTGAACCAAGGTATTGAACAAATGGACTTAATAGATGTTTACAGAGTGTTCCACCCCACAAAATCAGACTACACATTCTTTTCAGCTGCACACAGATCATTCTCCAAAATAGATCACATGCTTGCTCATAGGACATATCTAAGAAAATGTAAAAGAATCAAAGTTATCCTCTGTATATTATCAGACCATAGTGCAATACAATTAGAGATAAATATCATAAGAAACTGCAAAACTCCCACAAACTAATAGAAATTGAACAACACCCTCCTGAGCAACCAATGGGTGACAGAGGATATTAAAGAAGAAATTGGACAGTTTCTACAAGTAAATGATAGTGACAGTACAACATACAGGAATCTATGGAACACAATGAAAGCTGTTCTATGCAGGAAATTCATAGCAGTGAATGCCCATATTAGGACAACAGAGAGAACTCAGTTAAATAACCTAATGAAGAACCTTAAGCTCCTAGAAAAAGAAGAGCATAACAAACCCAAAGCTCATACAAGAAAGGAAATTATAAAGATCCAAGCAGAAATCAATGCAATGCAAACTAAGGGAACAATACAAAAAAATCAATGAATCAAAGAGTTGGTTTTTTGAAAGAATAAATAAAACCAATAAACCTTTAGCCAAACTTATCAAAAAAAGGAAAGAAAAGGCTCAAATCCATGCAATTAAGAATGAAAAAGGTAAAGCTACAACAAATCCAGCACAAATCCAGAGAAACATCAGTACCTACTTTGAGAACCTGTACTCTAACAAAATGGAAAACACAGAAGAAATGGACAGATTCCCAGATACATACGAATTGCCAAAATTAAATGAAAAAGATATAGAAATTCTAACACCCCAATAACAATGAGTGAAATTGAAAATGTAATAAAAAACTTACCAACAAAG